GTAGCTGACATGAGAATGGAGTCAGTGGTTTCCTATGTGACGTCGACAGCTGATGTTTCACAAAAATGTATCATATATATGTATGTAATGTATGCATGTACTTATGTACGTATGTATGCAATGCTTGTGTGTATGTACGTATGTATGTATGTATTTATGCATGTATGTGTGTATGTATGCAATGCATGTGTATATGTAATTACAACGTTGACAAGAAAACTTATTTCGCCAAGGCTTCGACGTTTTCGTCTTCCTCAGGACTGTGTTCATCCAAATCGACGACCCAGAGCTAGTCGTTGTCGTGATTTGGGGTTGCACCGCTAGAATAGGGAATTTCACTCTGCAGTTCACTTTCGTACAACACGGTTGTAGACCGATTTCTACCTCCAATAAGATCTAATTTTTTGGCAGGCATTGCATCTTGTAACCCTTTCCTCTTTTCCTTGTGGGATCGGCAAGTTGGTAACAGGCTTATATAGAACAAGCTAATTTTTCCAAATCACGTTAGAACGCTCCAGCAACATTTATAACGAAGATGTAATCCTCAAATAGTAGCTGAACCAGCACGCTAGAGTTCGAAGGACTTCGTGTGTGATGACTGTAAGAGTACGAACCAAATGCAAAACTACCTGGGACCCATAAAGGGGGTATAAAGACGGATCAAGTAGAAAAAAAAGTTTATGTTTCTTTCCAAGAGTATGTAGTCTACCTAACTGGGAGAAATCAAACAGTTATGGCTTGCGGCAGACACCCACGCGTTGTTAGTCATATCAACATACTCCTAAGCTCGTTCTAGAAAAAATGAAAGTATTCTGCTCAAACCTCTGAGTTTTGCGTCCCTCTTTCAAAAACTCATCAATTTTCTCATGCAAGAAAGTTTTTACATGGCACTGGCAATAGTTTCATCGGCTAATCGGAATTTTGCAAAGTGTGCACTACGTGCAAAAAATGGCAAGTTTTTTTTTAGTGCTTTCCATACAGCTGAGGCAAGCAAATTTCTGCAAGATAGCCTCCAAATATTTCATTAAAAAAACTGAAAATACGGTTTTTTACCGCAAAAAAGCTGCCATGACAAAACATTACGGATAACAAATAAACGCAGTAAAAAATGTTTAGCTGTTAATGAGCTTTTCGTCAAATCGCTTTCCATTAGAGAAAATAGGAAGAGTCAAAGTTTGCGACAAACAGCCGTATCAACGGAAACGACTCGATAAAAGGAGAATTTAGATTAGTGAGAAATCAACCTCATAAAGCACGAAATGCACCTGTCGGAGCTTCTTGTGCGAATTTCTCCTTTCGTTATTCATTGTAACTTCTCCATGATCCAGACTAATTTGGAACTATGGTAACACCTGAAGTTCCTAGGTGGCAGCTCATAACTACCTCTGTGTTCCAAATTCCAGCGAAATAGCGCCAGATTTTCTATTGACTGAAAATTATTCACTAAATGAAAAAATCAGTGCTATTCTAGAACAAAAATGTTTTGTTATACTAAATTGTTATAGTAAAGTAGTGACGCGAGAATTCACATAACATAGTAGATCTTCACTGCGGTATGAATGTTTGTTGTGAAAACTTCTCAAAATTGCCAAATCACTTGTAGAAATTTGTTTTGAAACGTGTAAATTTAAATATTTTCTATAGTAGATATTAGGGCAACTGGCACAGAATTTAAAGTCTTAAAAGAATATATTCTCCTTACTAGCAGTTTTCAGTGGAAAAATGTCAAGCTATACTGAAATATATGAACGTTTTGTTGTAGGGTTTCTTGAGCTGTGAATAATGATCAATCTACCCACTGAATTGGTTGTTAAGATACTGAAGAATCTTGAACCACTGGACATTGTTAACTGTCGAACTGTTAGCAAAAAGGTAAAGAAAATCCAAGTGTTCACAGTACATAGACCTCTTTTTTGCCTGATTGTCCTGTTAATATAAAGCTCAATATCTTTGTTCCAGCTCTATGAGATCGTCACAAAATATATCACTTATCTTCCAAGAAGAGCGGTAAATGTCAAAGTTTTTGAGCATGAAGGGCTCGCTTGTATTTCATATTTGAAAACGGAGCTAGAGGGAGAGGTTGGAAATGTGCTTATAATCAAATATTTACGAAATCTTATTGACGGTTGTAAGAGCAGTATTAAGGTCAGTAGCAACAATTTCGCATGAATTGAAATGAATTCATATTCGTGACTGGCCCTAGTTTGTTTTATTTATTTGTTTATCACATTACTTGACATCTTATATTCTGCCAACCTCAGAGCTTTATGCATTCAATCCGTTTTCCTGTATCCATCAAGTACACTTTGTTTGCTTATATTCAATATATGATCTACAATGGGACGGATAGCGCAGTGTTAGTGATACCCCTAATCACGAGCGTGGCGCTGGTCCGATTTGCTCCGGGCCAACCAAATATCCCATCCCTCCGGGGTCGGTAAATTGGTGCCGGACTTGTCTGGAAAAAATATTGCTCTCTGCAATCCAATTGGGAACGCTCCAACCTGACTATCTCAGGACTCCAAGGAGATTTGCTCGTCCAGCATTCAACGACACCCAAGATGAAATGAAATTCCTCAAACAGCAACTCAAGCCACACGTAGAGTTGGAAGATCTTCGTGGACGGTAGATATGAGGAAATGAATCTAATGTGAGAAGTGCTGGGATCCGCAGGCGTTCACAGTAGACGTGAAGACGGGGTCAAATGAAGTGAAATAAAATGAATATGGTTTGCAACTGCGAAAACGAATTAACTCTTCAATATATTCGAGATCGTTCAGAGAGTAATGGAATTCGACCTCAGTTGCTGGAATGACATAGTCATAGAGAAAATAGTGCTAAAAAACTTAACAGCTGAATCAATTGATACATGGAATGTAGTGGAATTTGTTTGCAAAGCTCTGAAAAAGTCGCGACAGTTTCACATCAGGTAGGAAAACAGATCTCTTTTTTGATTATCAGTGCAATAAAGATATCATTGTTGGCTTTCATACTGAGCGTGTCTTGTAAACTTTGGGAATCCTCAGTTAGACCCCACAACGGTTTCTACTAAACCTTCAATCCAGTGTAGGAGGAAGAACGTGTATAAAATGTTATATGATCAAGCGTCTATATTTTAAAGCGCAGTTCAATCACATTGAAGAATTCGAAACTTCCTGTTTGTACGTATCTAGGCATCGGAGGCCAATTACCTTTTGAAAGTCAGAAACACTTTAATGCTAATCGCTTTATCCTTCACTCTTCCTCCTCCTTTCACAGCATGCCATTGCACGAAATAAGCAGTAATGTATGGGACTTATCAGCGCTAAAGATTTTAGGGAAACTGGAAAATTTCTGTTCGTAGATCACTATATCTTTTCGAAGCTATGTAGATCTATTGTTGAGTTACTAAAAATTATGATACAATTTAGAGCATTAACGATGGAATCAGTGAATATCAGCAGTAGCTTTGAGTCGCATCTATCAGAGCTGTTTCAACTTGTCCTACCAAGTTGTGAGGTACCACCTTCTTCTTATGATTCTCACATTTGTGCAACATTTTCAGCTTTTAGAAAATCGTTATAAGCAAGTGTGTGCTTCCTGCGATTATGCCGCCAACACTCGTCTTTAGGAGCACAGGTTTACCATGCTTTCTTGCACCTTTGAAATTTGTTCCTCTGTCGATATCGTGTAGCATTTTACGAACCGCTGTATGAAAAATAACATCACATTTGTAACCTCAGGAAAATTTCACTACTAAGCAGGAGATCTTGTGGGAGAACTAGTTCTCTTGCTGCACGATGTTGAAGACAAAGATGAAAGAGCAAAGCAAGCTATAACAAATGTTCCTGGTTTTTAATTTAGGCCACAATACCTTAGTCGATGTAACACTCTATGCGGTGTTCCATCAGTTCTTCGAAGAACCAAGTAGATTGAACCAGATAAAAGTTTTATCACTAGACATAAATAACCCGTTAATAATAATAAGTAAATAATAATAAGCAGCTACTATAAAACGTTGCTTAATAAGGGCTGGTCTAGAGAATTCCGTAAGAGTGATAGAAATACCATCGGACACTCTAAGAAGCCTGCTAGTTCGCAACAGCCTATATGACCGTCTATGTATAGCGAAAACTGCATAATTTGCCCTAACGGTAGAGACGGTGATTGCATGAGATCGGGCACAGTCTATCTGATCTCTTGTAAAACGTGAATACGTTGGCGAAACTGGTGGACCACTCTGCGTCCGCATAAAAGAACACCTAGTCGGAAAGTCTAGATTAAAACCAAACACTCCACTAGGCGCGCAAAGGATGCAGGAACACAACAGAGAAGATTTTGATGTAGGAGTCACTCTCCTCACGCACGAATCAAAAACATCAGCGCGTAAAACTCTTGAAGTGTTTTGGATCAATTCCAAAAATTCAAAAAATGAACAGTAAGGAGGCGTGTCTTGTCATCATGCGTGACCTGGCGCCATACCTCAGGCTAATCCAATGACCTGACACAGACACAGTTATCGACCATGTATTACTCTGTGCCGCTACTATCCATCAACCAACATAAATACTACAACAAATAAACGGTAGATGTTTAAATGAAGCTGTTTCTTATGCGAATACAAATTTATTTGTTAAGTTTTATCTGCTGGAGTTTTTATGAAAGTGTTTGGCTGAGTAGATCGCATCTCAAATTGACCTTTCCAGACTCTGAAGAAGGCGAAACCGCCGAAACGTCGGCTGTTATATCCTAATAAATTCCATAATAACAACCTCGTGTTTGCTTACTGAAGAAAAACATTGAATTATCAATCAATGCCTAGGTTAAAAGAAAGTCGGTCATGCGAAATCAAAAGTTGTTTAGCAATAGTTTTCATCGTCTTTTCTTTCCCGGGAACATGTGCATTTGGATATTTTGTAGAAGAATGACGACAGCAATATGCCCGGTATTGATTAGTCCCTCAGGGATTGGTCATCGACTGGAGTATATTAGGTATCGAAGAAATTTTCAAATGGATATCTAGCCAGTGGTGACCTACTGATGTTATGGAAGTGAATTTATCCTCCCGAACTAGTCAGGTACTAATTTGCTGACCACGGGAAGATCGAAGCTTGGTTTGCGTTGCCGTGGATTTCTTACTTATTGGGGTACACCTTATATGGAGAATAAGTGAAGGAATTTTTTTCTTTAAACTAATTGAATAGGTGAACGCTAGTGATGTTATGCGAACGTTGATTTCTGCAATCCAACAAACACATCAAGACACATAGAAAATGGTAGAATATATTAACGTCAGTGATGTGGTTTACAACTGCCTGGAGAGCCAATTAATAGAAATGTCGGCCTTTTTGTTATTTCTTTAAAACAATCCTAACATCTCTCCAAATGACTCACATCAAGGATAAGTACAACTTTGATAGACTCAGATGTGCTTAGACCATGAGTCCATCTACATAACACAGGCACTTCCCACTACAGTCTAAACGGCACCAAATGCATTTGTACTCAATGAACACTGTGCAGTAAATTTAAAAATATCATCATCTTCAAGAGAACATTCTCGTCTTTTATGGTTACATTTGCAGGTCTCGTGTATTATCGCTGGCTGGAGAGTTGTTGTTTGTCTTCTTCCAAAACGAACGATGCTATTTTGCGCCGATTCACCAGAGATATCCGAGAATCCAATGAAATGCACTCCTTTCATGGAGAAATGGATGGCGTCGCTGTATCGAGTGTCTGCGAATTCATTGAGGTGGGCCGTTTCCTTTAGTTCTTCCTGTATTTTATAGCATTAGTTAAAACCTTGGATAGCAATTCCCAAAACCGACTTTCTGTTAACCTCGGCACTGATCGACAATTCATTGTTTTTCTTCAATGAGCAAACAAGAGGTTGGTATTACAGATTTACTAGAATACAATAACAGACGGTTTGGCCGTTTCGGCCTCTTTAGAGCCTGAAAGGTCAAATTGTCATGCAATTTACTCAGCCAAACACTTTCATTGCATTAGCAGGTAATACTTAGCACATAAATTTGCATTCGCATAAAAAACAGTTTCTTTTAAATGCTCGCCGTGTTCGTAACTTTTTTATTTACTGCCTATTCTTTCTCATGGGATTTTATGTTGCGAAATATAACATCTATAATGCTGAAACATTTGAAAAACTCCGGACCGCAGGTGTCTGCGGTGGGAAACGAACGCACTATTGTCCTTTCCGAGGAGTAACGCATTCACCACCACACCATGCAGGTCCCTCGTTTCGCCTGTCTTTCAGCTAGTTCTGTCTATCTCTGTCATCAGTAATCACCCATCAGCGGAACTGATCTGGGGGACCCAAATCGGCATTGAACCCAGTTAAGCTGAGGCTATAGTTATAATTACATTCTTATACTTTTTATTCAGTGCCTATTCTTTTTAATGGCAGGGTTTGTTGCGAAATATAACTTGCATAATGCTGCGATATCTGCAAAACCCCAGACTGCAGGCGTCTGCGGCGGGTAACGAACGCGTTGTTGTCCTTTCCAGGGAGTAACGCGTTCACCACCAGACCATGTATTCCATTTAGTTGATGGAGAGCAGTCCCACAGGGTATAACATTGGCGGGGAATGTGTCTGGGTCAGGTCATACAGTCAGCCTGAGGTATGGTGCGAAGTCACACGTGATAATGTGAAACTCTCCACCAACTGGGACACGTTGCAAGCTGCTTTTGTCATAGTTGCCAATGATTTCGACACTTTAGAGGGTACTATATAGTGGTATGATTTTTGTTCACTAAAAATCAATAATTGAAAATGGCTAGATTGTTTCAAAAGGAGAGATTGTACATAAAGGCTTTTCGTCGTTTCACTGTATCGTAATTACCCATGTCAACAATGCATTGGCTGTCATTTCTCAACTATAGCCCCAATTTTTGCGTATTAACTCAATCTTGATATTATGGCCTTTAGAAGCAAATAAAAACCATAAGTGACAAGTTTACGCTATTCTAGTTGTGAAAGTTTCGAGAAAATATCATAGGAAGCAGCAGTATTTGTTATAGAAAGTACACAGTATCAGAGTCTTTGGTGAGGATGGTTCATTGATGCATATTGCCTCGGCTTCGTTTATGGTTATGGAGAACTCAAAAAGGAAAAAAAGAAACCTCGGGCTATTTATTGCTTGATCTTGAAAATTCTGATGTACTTGAAAGTAGACGTATATACTAGTACCAGGAACAATGAGTATCTCCCGATTTCATCATTGATGATTGGGCATGAAAACTGCTTTCGAGGAGTTGTAGTCATTTAAATCAAGGGCGTCTCTCAAGGTTAAAATCTCCTAACCGGAATTTGGCGAACTCATTTTTCAGTAAATGCTAAAACAGAGTGCATCAAGATGAATGGTTAACTTCTCCATAAGTGGTCTTTCCTCCATTAGAACTACCGCAAGCAAAGTCGTTTCATATGCAAAGCTACCTAGGTGGAATAGGTTAAAAATAAACTGTCAACTGATAAAGAGAATTAACATTAGGCAAAAAGTCCACGTAAATACAAGAGATGAAGAGCATGGAAAATCGTATAAAATTATTTTGTATACTATCTCTTTAAATATTGTATGAGGCGAAAGTTGAACAAAGCAATGGTACGAACTTTTTTTTGACAGAGTTGTAAAATTGATTAGACAAGACAGTGCAGGGTTATCTTTCCAGTTTAGGCTGTAATTAGTGTAAAACCAAGTGACGAAAAATCCGCGTGTTACATGCTAACAGTAATATGGAAACGAGATAACTCCGTAAATTTCCGGTGAAATACCGATTTTCTTTTTTTTTATCGGGAGATATTTTTCAAAGGCTTTAATAGCCCGAGAAGACAGAAGTCACCGTCGGATCTGACAAACATTACTGTGCTGTCGTTTTCAGCGCTCTCGTGATATCTCGGCATGAAGTGATCGAATCAGTTCGTTTCAGGCGTGGTCGACATCAACCACTCCGCCCTACTTCAATATTACGCTGTATGGTTGTTGTTATCTTTGGCGTATAGCGTTTAAAAAAGAATGTCAGAGAAGAAACCTTGCTGACGAATGCAATGAATTTGAATCGGCTATAAACAAAGCAGCTCATATCAAAGTGGTCTTTATCCAAGTAGGTTAATAGTTCACCTTCTGACGCCTTCGATTCCATGATTGACAACTAGACACCTTAATAGTCTGTAGTTATGAGGAGGTCTGCCCTTTCCCGACTACATGCTCACATAGTCTTAAAATGCTAAGGAAAAAATAGAAACATTTTTACTTATTAAGCAAAGGGTCAAAACGCTTTCTAATCTGAGTGAAGAAACCCCACGACTTCGTGATTCCTCCACGTGTAGAGCGCTTTCGGACTTAAACGGTCTGTTTATTTTGCTGAAAGTCAACCATTGTCTATGTTTACCTCACACTGAACTCTTTCTTTGCCCCGTAATCCGATAACGATCACTTGAGAACTGATTTATTTCGATTTCAGTCGATATCAGTCAAATCTACTTCTGTATCTGGAATGCTTGCCGTTCTAGTTTGGTTCGATTAGCCAAAACTGCCTTTCTGCTTGCGAACGTTGAGCTCTCTTGCATAGATTAGCCATAAGCAGTAACAAGGATGTATGCCAGCTTCTTGATAATTACGTCAAAAGTGTACACCGCTGAAATCATTGTAATAGTTTTAAGAAGTTTTGCAACCCATAGTTGGTTAATGACTTATGCGGTTTGAACTACATTTCAACCTGCATTACGCACATCTGGATAGGCCAGGGAAATGTTGTTTTATTTTCTCATGCATCTAGCTCTTTAAAGCTATAGGAGAGTGCAAAGCACGTAGTTAAAAGTTCGAACAAAAGAGGGTTGAAGAAAACTCCTTTAGTGGTGGGCGGTATGAATTCTCTTCCTGGAAACAAATTGTAAAGTTAGATGCACGGAAGAAATGACATAATGTATGGAGGGATGAAGCTGATAGTCGTACTGTTTCAGGATGCAGAACTTTTTCGAATGTGGCCCATATTTGATATTCCAGCACGGGAAATGAAGAGCACCATTTGCTATGCCAGATTCTATAGGGACTTTTAGAATAATGTACAATACACCTCTATGTTTTCTTCCGTCTGTTCCTTTCTTGAGTTTTAGAGAGGGAGAGAGAGAGAGAGAGAGAGAGAGAGAGAGTGCTTTGATTCTGTTGGCTTCTTCCTGTGCTCTTCGATAATAAGGGCCAGATTCCACGTTTGTTATCAATGGTTTTCGTTGCAAGTAATGATTTTCCGTTCTTCACGTGAATGTTTGTAGATATTTTTCGGGCAACGATTTTTTTTTCAGACGGATTTAACTGAAACGAAAATCTTGCTTAGTAGTGTATAATTCGTTATTAGAGGTTTTCAGATAGATACAAAATAGAAAGATCGTAGGTGATTATGGCACTCATTTCTTAGATGCTTATTGATTGCCAGCTGTACAGTAGTAGTCGCACTATAAACAAATCAATCGGGAAATAATTGAATTACAAATTAAGGCGTGAAAGCCACTGGTTTTAATCTTAGAAGTGTATTAATACTTAATGCTAGAAAACATCGCTACAAGATAATATAGCACTTACGTGTAGAGTTCTCTTCCTAAAAGCAATAAGTATGACTAAGAGAATCTTCCTGATCGCAATCCGAATTGTCGAGCTTCGGACATAGTAAAGAAATTCTAATTTTTTCCTCAGAAGTTTATTAATGTTTACCTTTACATTCCATATTGGCGTGCTTATTAATTTGCTTCAAGACAATGAGACCAATGAAGCGGACCAAGTAGCACCGATCGTTCACTGCTGTAACAGGTCACATTGACTTACTTGCCAACACGTCGCGATCATTACTCGCTCATTACTCATCTACCAATTAGATCCATTAGATTTCTGCCAATAAATAATATTAAGCTTTCCCGGTTTTACAGCAAAGAGTCTATGAATGTGTCGTTTTCTTGTTCAGCAATCGCGAGGTTTTTAAACAGCATACATTTACTTCCATAAAAAACAATACAATACAACGCTAGCTGACGTTTCGGCAGTATCGCCTTCTTCAGAGCCGCTTTTTCGAGAAGCTGTTGGTCATGTAATTACCATAGAGTTTTTCGTCTTTTTGTAAGTGTTATTGAAGCGTTTGGCCTAGTAGATTGTATATCAGTATACCCTTCCAGGCTCTGGAGAAGGCGATACTGCCGAAACGTCAATTAGTGTTGTATTGTATTGTGTTTCTCTATGGAAGTAAATCTATGCTGTTTAACAACCTCGCGATTGCTGAACAAGAAAACGACACATTCATATTCCAATGCCGAGGTTAATATAGAAGGCCGATCCTGGGAACTATTACAAGATGTACCAGCAATGAGTTTATTTTTTTCCTAGTACAAGTCGTACGTCCACCAATGTCACCAATGCCAATGACATGTCAATGCTAGCGCTTCATTTATCATAAAAATAATATTATAACCGGTACGACCCATTTCCGAGCGATTGCTTTGCGTAACTGTTGCAAACATTTTCAGAGATCGTCGGTGATTTTCGAAGAAACCTTTTGAACTAGTTGAGTCTCATAAACTGAGTAAAATTGAACAGAATGTGATATTACATCCCTAATAGAAGATTAGAGGTATATCGAGGTGATAGGGTTAGAATTAGCTGCAGTATATAGAAATTTCTGAATGTTCTTTTCGTACAATTATCGAGAAAGGAACAAATAATAGATACAATCGAACATAGGAAATATTTGGAAAACTTTGTCTAGATGTAGGTAGATATAATTAGGAATGGAATAATAATTCTACTAAGACCTATCCTGTGATAGAAATGACAATTGGATCGAAAGGCCCGTGATGAAACAAAAATGAAGGGAAAGAAGAAGACGAAAAGGGAAGCGAATGCAAGAGAAAAAGAGCGATCCAAAGAGAAATCCAGCGATTCACAAAGGAAATTCGAGAAGCTAATTGGACTGTTTTCCTGACAACGATGTTTGATTAGACTGAAACTCACAACTTCATGGACAAATGCCTGTCCTTCGAGGAATCCGCCCCTTTGAGAACGAACGCTGCAGTTTTCGAAATACTTGTAGAACTACATGTAATGTTACTCATATCAGAATCATAACAACCAAGTTACTATTCGTACCGACTGATTGTTTTGAACGCCGCAGAATTTGCAAAGCACTTTTCATCGCTCAGAACTTCAGACTTTAAGTAAGGCATACTGTAAAATAAACTATGAAAGCGATACAAAAATACATCGAGAAAACATTTACGTACTTCTCACCCGTTCTAACAAACAAACAACGCTGCAGTTACAGCGAACAAAAACAAGAAAAAGAAAAAAAAACACGGAAATATACATAGTATAATGTCAGTAATGAGATCGATTAGAAATACTATATGGTCGACGATCTGCGCCTAACGTTGTCAGTGTAAGTGCGAACGATAAAAGCAAGAAGTCGGAACACCATCACAAGCACCGGAAGAATTTCGCATGGCAATCATCATGGGATCAGACTATTTCTAAACTAGAAATACCAAATCAAATCAAACGATATCAACGTGGAAAAGCACGACATCATAGTAAATTTCGATGCACGTCATTTCTCACATAGGTGTAGTCGTGCTGATTTCCATCCATTGGTGTCCCATACTCATTTGCTATTCGTACAACCCGGTATCCAACGTCATGAGCAGAATCCATCGTATCACTACAATGCATCACATTCGTTTTAAATTCCACGTTGTAGAATATTCAACGTACATACAGTTGTGTAAATCTTCGTGGTGTGAAGCTAGCAGTTGCTGTTGTTGTTGTTGTTGCTGTCGGTAACGGTATCTTAGGTGGAGAAGGTGGATAGAATTGAGGAGGTTCTGGTGGAGATACACCTACGGAAGAAGTTACGGATTCACCTAGAAGTACAAGGATCACTTTGTTTTTCACAACTAGTTCAAATACATTTGAACGTTTTCTGATTTAATAGTGAGATGAATATACACATTTGGTTTAACTAACCTTTCAACTGCGGTTGAACGGATTTGAGACATCGGCAACAGATACAACATGATATGCATATGCAACCAAACAGTATAACAATACCTCCAGACAGAAGTAAAACAAGAAATCCAGAAACCGATGTCAATGGATCAATGTCTAAATCTGAAAATGTTAGAGATTGAATCGCCAAAAAGAATAGTGATTTCTTTTAGGAAATTACACATGAGACTCACTTTCACAATTTACAGCAAACTGTCTGGAATAAATAATGTCTGATTCATCTCGGCAATCAGAAAAGCGATCACAAGCCAGTTGAATTGGAATGCACTCACTTTGACCGCAAGCGAATTCACGAGACGATGAGCACGGAACTAAAAACGTCATTCTATAGTTCTCCTTTTCTGTGGACATGAGAAGGAATTTCTAGATTAGAAGTACGAAATCTCTAGACTTATGGATTTTTCAGGAACACTAAAAATTGACATAGAAGAGCAATCTATGCATAATTTCTATGCGCCTCGTTTCACCAAATGGTCAAGGAATTTCCGGCTATTCTTTAATAGCTCTTTTGAAATAATAGTTAGGTATTATCTGGGCCAAAAACAACATTTGACTAATCGAGAACGCGGAATTAATCTTTTTAAGCATCCACTGTGTGCACTATGTGTATGCGCTCTTTTCCATTTTTTAATGGACAACTAATTGTAGAAGCTGCTGATCAAAAATTGAATCCTGGAAGATAAAGACTGAGAAAAATCCAGGGCTCAAAAAATTGGGACCAGCACAAATCTCTGTTTTCCAAGCAGTTTTCTGACCAACCATTAGCAGTGACTCGGAACGCATTCCAGTGCAGTCGAAAACCTTTGGCTGGATGCTGTTGTGGCAGCAGAGAATCAGTATGCCACCATAAAGTTAATGCATTTAAAGTGCTAGTGCTAAGTTCACTGGCATTCGTTCGCTTACCACAAAATTGACCTAAATACAACTGTAATAGTATTGTAACTTCAGTGACATAATTAACTTTTTCCAATCATTCCTCACCTATAATAGGTCCGGGCGTGATGTTGTCGGTTGATTGGAAATGAAATGTCGATGGGTCTATCACTGTTTCGTGCTTAAAACAAAACACATGGCAAGCTTGTTGTTCTTGTTGTTAAGCTTCATTTCTATATAGCAACTAGACCTACGTCGAACACGTGCAACGTGTCTTTTTCACAAACAGTATGCTTCCCATTCACATCGAAATCCAACACCTTCAGTCGAATGCGGTATCCGATAGGCGCTATTAACATCATAAAACAATTTCTACTGCCATTATATGGTGCTCTACCATAGAGTGAATGTGAATATATAACTCCTGATAATCCTGAACACGAAAAACCTTTATCGCTACGGTGAACTAACAGCGACAGGCTTTCTTATACCTGTTAAACGACGTTCTAGTCGTGTCTTACACTGATTGAGAAAGTTGTTTCCGTCAAAGAAACCTTAAAAAATGCCAATAATATTGCAAAAAAGGATTGTATTGTAGGCGTTGTGGAAACATCACTTACTCACGCTCGGTTCAACGCCAACCACCGCAAAAACTTGGAGAACATAACATGAAATCATTGACAAGATCAAAGTCCAGTTCCACATTTTTCTATAACAATAGTATTACTAAGTAAAATTTTAAAATTAGAAGAAAAGCACAAGAAGGATGAGAGTTGTGCAAATGAGTGGTGTCACGACGGGCATCTTAACTGCTGTAGACGAAAGTTTAGACCTGATTAAGTAAAACGATAAGAGATAGCAAGTAGAGAGGAATTTTCGATTTTCAAGGAATTTTTTAAAAATTGTACTGGATTGTTTTTTATCGTTGATAGAGAAGACGTATAGCGACATTAGGTACGAACATGACAATGTACTGAGAAGTAGTCATAAATTGAAGCATAAGTGGTGCATGAATTTATTGGGTGACAAGCGAGATGGAAAGATAACGCTATCAACAAAAGAAAGAGCAACACATCATAATGAGAGATCGTGGCAGTGAAAACATCATACAAATCGCTCATCACTGATAACCGTTTTGCTAAGCTTGCAAAAACAAGCTGGTGATTTGTGTGGACGTTAATAGCGCAGCGCGTCACTTCAATAAATCTACTCGACCTGTGACTAAAAAAAACCTAAGCCATTTCTCCTCATTAACAAATTAGTTCGAATTTCACTTAGAGGCTATGGTATTCGAGATCCTTAAGGTGGCGGTAGACGTCCTTAGAGCGTTGAATATGAGTGACGGAACGGGACGAAACGAGGCGGAACGAACCAACGGACGACTCTCGATCTGTTTTTGATTGCGCACAGGCACGCACGCGATATCTGGCTGCTGTACTCAATCAGACAAATTGCCACCAGCAACAGTCGTGTCATCATCGATAGATACTCTCACCCACTTTCTGCTAATTGGACACTTAGGACATATCCATACGATAAGTAGCAACTCTTGACCACTGCACACACGTGTGTCATTGCGAAAACTTTAACCGCTGGTAAGCAGTAAACTGAAGCAAAAATCATCCTAAATTCATGCAAGTATAGAAAAAATGAGCACAAGATCAGAAGATCAGGAGATTTTTGGCAGATGAGAGCTGGTCCATTAATGAGGGATGTTATCACCTTCATTCAAAATATGGACTGAATGTAGGAGGCCATAATTCACGAACGCACATTCGAAACATGTAGCGGCGACGATTTATGAGTTGTTGCAGGGTAGTGCACTCCGCCCGCTCATCCTCCCCTATGCACTCCGCCTTGACCACTCGCTGCTCTCACGAAAGCGCACGGCATACGGTATATGGCTGACTGCGTCGAGATTGGTGGCTGAAATAAGAAGGGGAGACGATGATTGCTGTTCTTAGGAATGGACGTAGTCGTCAGATGCGATAGTAAGCTGCTTTGTGCATGCTGACATAAGGGTCACCAACGATGTCATTTGCATACTTGATCAAACGAAGCCGCTCTCGCGCACGTCACTTAATGCACTGACTGCTTCAAGAGTCAGTGACGTACTGGTCTACTGACCCGACACAACCGATGAAATTTATCCAGTATTTAGCTGGTTATGCAGAGAAGTTGCTTAACTATTTTAATGATCGAATAGCTTAAAGGAAACACCCTTGTTTTCTAATTTAGGACTGTGCAGAACAGTGAATAAAGTAAAATGTAAAACGAAAGTAGAAGATTTTTCTTACATACTACTCTACCACAAGTCTAATGAGAATACTATACATACTATTAAGTTGGGCTATCGTCTAAACTGTGGAAAGGTATCCATCACTGAAATGGTTTTCTACTATGATCGCTTGAATTATGGTGGCTGAGGTTTATGGAGTGGCTCACACGAGGAGCGCCGGCGCTTCATCCCATCACTCATGAGTCTCTATCTATTGTCTTTATCAGCTCATTGTCACTCCGAATTTCGGACCGCCCCTCGGCGTCGGCGATGTGAATCGGCCAACAAACAAGCATCTGTCACAAAGCCACACTCATTTGCATACAGGGGTAACAGACGCACAAGTATTCCCTCACAAACCAGCAGCTGCTTTCCGGTTGGTAATTTTTGGTACGAGACTAATAAACGAAAGATCGTGACGGGAACCGATCATCTTTGTACAAAAGCTTGGAGTTTAGATGGTTTTTGTAGAATTATATGAATATAAGATTTCTATACAGTGCCATAGGTTCCATTAGTAAGATTTCATTACTGGCTGCTTACACGAACACATAGAACTCTAAACATTATTAACATGAAACATTTGTACTCTATCGAGTTCATAGGTAACAGCTTTGTTTTGATTCATTATTGCTTTGAAGGGATGCAAACGAGCAGAAAATGGTTGTGTATCGCGCGAGGTTGAGCACTAAGAAGACGGATTGGCTAGCAGAGAGAGATGGGACATACATAAGATGGATTGAAGCTGGTGGAAATTGACGGCAGGAGTGCTCCATAACACGGACCACATTCGAAGATTTTCCAATGTTACGCTGAATAGGAGAGCTTGCCTTTAGAAATTCGGTGATTCGGTACTTTATCAATAAAAGACATCTTTCTCATTGAAGCACTTTTTTCTTCTAAAAATTTCGTTTAAATATCACTAAGGATAGTTCGTACGAGATTATTCAAAGTGGAACCCAAAACTAACCGACATTTTTCCTCCTGTGATATTCACTCGTAACCAATAGCCCCCATTTTTCCTTTGATTCCCATTCAATATCGGTTTTTTTTCTTTGGATTGGTTATTGAAGCAAAGTTATGAGATGTAATAAACTACTGTTGAAAAACAACAGGTGCAGAGGTCAGTATATGATTCCAACAAGGTGAAAGAACCTTAGGAAGGAAAGTCGATGCTCGTTCATGAACGAGATTTCATCGTTTATCTCTGTACTTAGTGGTGATCTAAGCAAGACATTATTCTTATGGAAAACGAACAGCCAATACTACAGATAAATGTCGATGCAATTAGCCCACACACCAAATGATTGCCAATAACAAGTAAATAAGAGAATGATACAATATAATGCTGAAAAAGAGAACATAAAGATTGGAGTGATTGATTGCCTAGAGAATGAAACGAGGGAGAACTCCAATGGATTCCACAGCATCACGACAGCAATCATGTTCGTAAATCAAAACTGAGCTCGCTATGTAATAAACGGCTGTTGAGAGCAGAAGTAACTGAGGTCGGAGTACAATCAAATGGCTCACTAACCATCGGACTAAAAGCGAATTGGCAGTGGTAATGCAAAACCCTAGAAGAAGTTGGTTTATCATTTTTGGACTACTACAGAAGTTTTTGCTCGAACTGTTCTACTTGGACATTTTAAACGCCTCATCTGTTGATGAGAGCTCAGTGTTGTAGATGGTTGTATTTTGGGTTCAGAACATCAGTGGAAATTCACAAGCAGATTGAAGAGGATGTGAACTCAAAGGCACCAGTCATTCAGGGAATACTTAAAAACACGACCAACGACTTAAAAGGAATTGTCAAAGAAATACACTGAAACATAGAAAACAATTAAAACTAAGCAAACTGACTTGGTAAAAAATTTCTAAATAGCAGCTTTATTAACCTACTTTTTTCATCTATTAATGAACAGCTTTTTGAAGAGTTGTGAATTGATAACATTTTGAAGAGAAGAAATCCCATAAACATAGATATTAATCATCAGATAGAGTGAGTAGGAAACGATTTTAGTCCTAGCAACTGATGAGAATAGAATCGTAAAGGATTCGTTGCGAAGTGATGCCGAGTTCGATCTCGCAACATTTGTTGAATAGTGTAGGCCAGTCATAAGTCAATGCGAACGCCTGTGATATCATCGAATGTGTTCATAGGAAGATGAATGACCAGGTTGACATCGTCTCACACCACATTAATAAATAAAGCCAAACAACTGCACTTGACTATTGGAATCTAGCCGTTTGCTCCGGAATGAGTGATGACTTCAGTCAATGTTTTGCGTCTTTGTTTGCTTCGCTGAACCACTGAACATCACTACATCATTTAAGATGAAGCAATTCACGCACTGAAAAAATCAAGAAAGTAGAAACATCTCTTATATAAGTGTGTTGAGTGAAATCTAATGTAGATAGAATCTGACACATGTTCTATTGAGAATATTTGAAAAAAAGAAATGTCAACCCAACCGTATGACGCCATTAGATCAAATGGCTCACTAATATTCATATAAGAATATTCAAAAAATTCGTCTAATAAAATGCTTAGTGCTCGTTTTAGGATAAATACATAAAAAAGCGACTTTAATTAAATAATTCTGTGATATTTAAAATACTGAAGTCGACATCTCGATTTCTACCCTTGGGAAATCCGCAGCTCATAAACACGACTCTTCTCTGACTCTGTCAATCACCAAATATGCTTGCACAAATTCGCACTTTTAGTTTAAGATTGGCACTGTGTGGCCTGTCGTAACTGCTTCTAATCTGTAAATTTCTACTGGCTTCTACACACAATTCTGTTTTTTTTCACTTTCTTTAAAAAAGATGGAGTAAAAACAGAGGCAACTGGGACAGAAAAATGAAACCTAACCTAAGTTGCTTAGAGATAAACTATGTCCAGAATAAGAATAAAGACTCCTGAAAAATATGCTGTCGGTCATATTATGAACATTTTTCCGTCTATTTGTATTCACATGACATCAAAAAAATATGTGGCTAGAACTTTATAATAAGAAGTCGAGAACCATTAGAAACCTCGCAGCCAGGAAAGGACCCCTACTTTATAGCTCTCATGATGAAAAATTGCTAGAAACATACGTAGACATGGTGTCGACATTAACAGCTTAAGCTTACACTGCTCAAAAATGAGAGTTAACAAAAGAAAAATATAAACTGCTCAGCGTTAATCGGTCTCTTGGTGATATGCTGTGCATCTCACTCTATTGTACATCGTAGAGAAGAACGAACGTGTATTTGACCTATCCTATTAAATTCAATGGTCTACACATGTATTAAATTAGTGTTTTGCTCTACTAAACAAGTACGATATCAAGTTGTCGACCCTGGAAGAAAATAGGACTTGATTAGCTCGGGTCGTGAGGGCGACCCAGCGATTACGTGTATATTGCAGGGTATCTCTTATCACTGAGCAACAACCGTCAGCTTAATCATAGTTGTTATAACAAATTCTTATCTTGTAAAATCTTATCATTAATCTACTACCTCACCGTATCTATGAGGAAAACAGATGTATTTGGAAGTTAGGTAATAGAAGAACGGACTGTTCTTCGCAGCTCGTAGGATTTTGTTACCAAACTTCTATTTATGGTTCCGGACCATGTACTAGCACAAGTAATTCCACTGTATCCTTCGATCGTTTGCTGGCTCGTTTAGACTAGTTTGTACCTATGCATCCAGTTCTGAAGTCGGTAGGAGTCAATGCTTCTAGCAGAGTACCCCAAATTAAGCAGGATATCTCAATTTAAAAAGATTTCCATTCATGTTAAGAGCAAAGCACCGCCATGGCAGAGGCCGACTAGCGAGTCGTAGCTACTTTCTCGAAAGTAGCAAGAAAAACCAAGGTTCTCATAGCAAAACTTTGGTTTTTTGTGATCCTTGAGTGAAGAGTACCCTCTGAAGGAGTATAGCAATCTTTGCGGACAAATGCAGATTTCACAGGTACCCGGTGGAGCTGCATGTTAGTTAACAATCAATAAAACGATAAAGGAGACATTATGTGCTAATATAAAAAGCAGTTGATTTTTTGAAGAACACCGGGTTTCTTGTAATGTGCGTTTGGCTAATCGGTACACATTGTCTCATTGATCAGCTAATGGGAGGTTTGTAAACAAAAGCCTATTCTGCAAGTTTAGGCGCTTCCACCATTTTCAAATCTAGACTGATCTAAGTC